GAATGTCGCGCGAACTCTACATAGATCTAAATATATAATATTGTCTTATGAAAATGATCTGAAATTTAAAATATATTTATGTAACAATATGATAATACATATTATATAATTGATAAAGGTATAACAAATCTATATCATATTATGTAACAAACAACGATTAAAACATTTGTCTTAAAAAAAAAAATAAATATATTCATAATTCAAATCTTCGAAACAAGATTAATGATCAAATTATCATTAATTAAAAGAGCTTCTTCAAAATATAAAGATCAATATTTAGCAATTTAAGTATACACATACAATTACTTACGAACATGTTCTAAATTTTGAAATCGTGGTAAAAAATGTGCTTGTTTTTATCGCGGACATTAATAATCAATGATTGATTATACTTTTTAATACTTTTCCAAACACACACACTTACGCACTTACATACATATTTGCCATTTTTTTTGACAAATATCCTTAATTATTTTTAAATTACATGGCATCATTATAGCCGTTGTACGATAAACGGAAGTAATACTGTCTGTGTTCTCTTTTATGACGCCAGTACATAAAGCCAATTACAATTAGGACTAATAAAACTAACATTAATATGAACGACGTCAGGATTGCTGAAACAGATTAAAGATGATTCAATATGGAAATTTGAAACGAATAATTATATACAAAAAATAAATATATGTGTATAATAATAAATATATAAATGTGTTTATAACCCAAATAGCATCGCAAATACAATATAAAAAATTTTAAATACATAGATATTTTTAAAATAATTATATTTTAAATAATTACCAATAATATCGCTAGAACTTATATCATTCCAGCCTATTAAACATTCTTTTTCCCAATCCTCAGGTATAGCATTCCTTGTTAAATTAATGAAATCATTTAAAGGGCATAACGTAACGCAGCCCGGTAATGTCATAAGGATCGATTCCTCTGTCGTGTTTTTATAAGAAACCTATAGACAAAAAAGTGACAATTACGAATCAATTAGGAATCAATTATGAATATACGAATCGAACGAGATATTTCGTATTACGTTCGAATTACACAAAATTCGTACTGTTACAAAATATTGATTTTCTGAGTTTGTCCTTAATTCTATGAGAATCGTAGCGGTATAAGGTGGACAGTGAGGTTCGAATAGATTCAGAGTCATAAGCATATTTGCCACGGTCTCATCATGAGCGCTGTACATCCATATTTTTCTGTCAGGTTGCAAAGCGTGTTGCGTTTTTTTAATCATGTGATCTATCATTTCTCCAAGCAATGGACCTAACGATAGATATATCTTCAAACCATTTATTTTTACATATTTTTAAACCAATTATATAATTAACAAAAAATTATTACATTAATTGTTGGTACACAGAAACATTAATAAAAACATGTTTATTAAAACATGTAAATGTAAGTACAAGTGAATTATTAATTAATAACAATGTAGCTGATGTGTAGCTGATTACCTGACTTTAATCTTTGAAGTATCTTGTTATAGCTCTCTGTCATAAAACTAAGTATAGCCAGAGGTTTCAGTTTCTCTGGGAATACCGACTCTGTCCATTGCGGTAGAGTTTTGTTATATAATCTCTAAAAGATAAATCAATCTTTATTGCTTACTCAAACAAACAACTAAGTTACGATATGCAAAAGCATACAGAACTGATAATAGAGAGATACTACCTCTATATATAAAACATCGTATAGATGTTCGGCTGTTTTCAACGAAAATATGTTATCCCCAGTGTGTTCGGTTAAATAGGCATACAGCTTCGCGTTCGCTTTTCTCACACGTTCCATTTCTGGTGACGTCATGACCTTCTCCAGCTCATAGTCATATCGCGGACAGCGTTTGGAGGCCCTTAGCACATAGTCTTCCTTCTCCGGTACAGTGTGCACCGGAATCGGCATCCACTTAATGTTGTCCCACACTTGATTCTTCACTGGTGGATAGAGACCCGCGAGATTCGCCTCGGCCGACATCAGCGTGCGATCCACATCCGTACTCTGAACGTAGATGTCATACGGCGTGTAGACATCGCTTAGGAAATGAGAATACCGTTTCCTTAGCCAGCGTCCAAGAAGAAGGTGTTGATGCTTCCCAAGCTACATTTATTTGCAAATATCAAACAGAATTTTAAATTAACATGATAAAATATTTAAAAAAATTTACATACAAAGAGCAAAATAATCTTTTCTTAAAATTTATTTAATTTATTCTTTATCATTGACTTCTTTTCTTCATCATTGTTCTCATTTATATGCTTGATCTGTTTTGAAAAATTTGACTCAATGTATAATATCTTTTTTACGTAAAATGCCAAGTGGTTAAAAATTGTGCTAAGTTGATCTTTGGAGTATTGTGTTTCACAAAGAAACATTTAAGATAAGATAAGGCACGGAAATATTTGCGATTGCATGACAAAATACATCCTTATTGTACATAAAATTAATTGCAACTGCACCTGATTATTTGTCAGTTGCAATTATCTGTCCTTACATTCGTTAATTGTCCATATGGAACTGGCCAGGCTGTTTCGTTTTTGTAAGGATCATTTTTGTAAGGTGCAACGGGAGTCCTATCTCCATGTCTGTAAAGCTATAAGCAAAAAAAAAAGAAAACGAGTTTATTGTGCTTTCAAGATAAATTTCATGAATCATCATGCCTGACATCAAATGCCAAGGCAACAGATAAAAATGTATCGAAAATCGCAAATGGCGTAATATCCTAAAATATATAAACAATGTGTATCGAAATCATAAAAACGCACTATGCGTAGATATAACAACAAAAGAAACAATACTACGTGATAAAATCATTGAACTTGGATTGGACTTGGGTTGGAGATGAAAGAGAAAAACGAAACACGGCGTTGATGACGCCAAATGGAATGGAGGAGCGCAATTTCGCTTGGGACTCACAATGTTCGCGAAAACAATCGTGCCCAGATCGGGATCACCACTGTTGGAGCAGCTAGTGGCGAGGATACTCGCGAATACAAGGAGCACTCCAGTTTTCATCGCAAGACTTCGCCGCGACTTCACTTGGCAACTTCGTCTCGAATTCGCGAGCGGCAGCGACGGCGACGGCGGCAGAGGTGACGGCGGCGGCGACGGTGACGGCGGCGACGGCGGCACGTGGCGATCGCACGTGACGTTAATCTCCGGGAGCGCGGGAGTCGGAGCAACCTGTAAACTAGAAGCCACGACGAGCATTCGTGCGCCGCGCACACATTTTATTTTCGTGACGCAACGACACCGTACGCGACGTCCATATGCATTCGCGCGACGTAAAATGCGCGAAATTTTGCGCGCACTTTCGCGCCTCCTCGAAATTTTTCGGCGTCACCGAAACTTCTTGATCCCACCACCGTAGAAAAGTTCTCCCTCCCCCCCTCCCCCTCTCGCTCCAATGGAAAAAACTTCTCTGACCAGCGAGAAAGTTTCCTCCCATGTGGAATCGTCAAGAGCGCGGATGCAGATCTCAATAAAAACATTTCTTTTATTCTATTTTCAGCAAACATAAAATTAATTAATGAAAGGGAGGAATGTTTATTTCGATGTAAAATATGTCAATTTATTACGATATGAAATATTTATATTAAAATCATATTTCATTATGAATTACCGATTACATAATCATATTTTGTCCAGCAGTATTACAAAAAGTGATACCGTACAAAAGACACTTTTCTTTTTCTCTTTTTTTTTCTTTTAATACACTAGTATATTTTATATCTCTTTTAGAAAAATATTGAAAATATGAAATAATATAACAAAATCTTGCGTGATATTTATGATTATTTTATAAGGTTCAATTACATAGAAGATTATTTATAAAAGTAGATGTAGAAATGTTTATTTTTCATAAAATATTGATAACCATTTGCGCAATAAATTTCGAAATATTTTTTCGGCAAATAATAATGATATGACGAATCATTTCAACGGCATATCTGCAAAATTAAATATTATATTTGAAAAGAGATGTTGTTCAATAATTGAGAAAAATATTTAGTTGCATTATATTTAAAATATTATTTAGAAATATAATTATGCAGCAAAGAATCAAAGTATGCTCGTATTTAATCCATACGTATGCTCATAAAAATACACAATTTTTAAATTATAATTTAGATATAGTGTTGCAACATGAAATATTAAATATACATGTAGCATAGCAAAGTTTGAAATAAAAAGTCAAAGAGTCGACTTTTGGGATGTGTATGCCTTTTCGCTTTCCATCACAATATTCTTCATATAAAAGCGCCTGTCTCTTTGTTTCTCTTTTCGCTAGTCGAATGGTCTCCAGGTGAATGTGCGGAGAGGAAAAGGAAAGAATAAGGAAAGGAAGAACTCGAAAAAAGTACAATTACAAAGAAACAGCTATTTCGGAATAAGAGTTGTCATGCGAATGTGTCGCCCAGAGAGATATGACGGATTTTCGCGTACGCAATGCATCAATGTGTACATACATATTCGACGTGGAGGAATCACATGAAACACCGTCGTTTTCGCTGGCTCTTGACATTGGACATACGAATGAATCATCAATGAATCGTCAATGATATGCGACTTGTATAGTCTATCTAATGATATGGAAAAACATATAGAATTTTAAATAATTTCAAACATCTTTTTTGTTATTTCATTTATATCAGTGTAAATAAAGTAGCTTTCGAGCTTAAATTTGAAAATTTTAAATACTTAATTTTTCAAAATTTTTTTAAAACTATGTACGATCGTATTTATTTTGTGATGTTGGTGAGAGAAAAGTTACAAAAATAAAAAGAAAGAAAACAGTAACGAGAAACAACAATAAAGAAATAATCTCTAGTAATACGAAGAAATCAATTTGGAAGAACGTGAATTACGTTTAACACATTCGTTCTCTGTGAAGAGCTGTCTGCGTTGTATCCTTCACGTTTCTTATACATTTTTCTTGCATCTTTCAACCTAAGAAAGTTCTTGCTGACTCACTTTGTATACGTATTTATGTAGCATGTTACTCACGAAGAGGACTAGTCCTTTTAGCTGCACTTTCTACTTTGTTTCCTTTCTACTTTCTCTTTTCATGAAAAAATACGGCTAAAAGGAACAAACGATCTCACTATTCCAACAATAACGACAAATTTAGTTTTAAAATAATTTTATCAACGAAAAAATGACACACGCATGCGAGAGAGAGGGAGGAGACAGAGAGAGAGAGAGAGAGAGAGAAAGATATCCCAATAATTAAAAATTTATATATTTTCACATTGCACATATGTACAAATTTATCGCAATTGTTTGTTCGTCGATACGTATAAATGTCCCTTTGCAACTAGAATTATTTTACTCATTAATAGTAATATTTACCATTGCTGCCATACTTCAAAAGCCCCATTTTTTTTAAAAATCCTGTGTTATATGTGAAATATAACAACTGACTATCGTACACGCTTACATGTACAACAAAATTTACTTTCTCTGTATGTGTATATATTATAATTTATACTATAAAGCTATATATCGTACATACTATCTACCTTAAAAAACATTGATAGAACTATACCTTTATATATATATTTTTTTTATACAGATTGTTCCGAAAGTCGCATACTTTTCTCTATAATATAAATATTAGATAAAACATGATGCATATGATTCTATACGTACGTCTAGTATGTATGTTTTTGAATACGTGATATAAAGAATTATATGTAAGTATAATATTAAGTCATAAATATTTCATTATAAAACAATACAAATATAAATATATGAAAAACAAGAAATGCTTTATATCTTTTTGTACGTGTTTTAGGAGAACATTTGTATTGTTTTATAAAAATGTATAAAAGGCGAACAAATATTAATCCTTTATTTAGCGCGCGCGATTACAGATAAAAGCGTTTTTTGATCGAACTTTCGCCGAGGATCGACTGACCTATTCACCGAGGGATTTGCGAGCAAGAGAAAGTATGCGATTTCCGAAACAGGCCGCATATTGTAAAAATATACAGAGATTGACCCTAATCAACTTTATCACAATTCACGTTTACTAATTGCAGATTGCATTAGGACAGCTTTGTCTTTATAAGAAATATAAAGCTATAAAAATCTTCTCTGTACGTTTGTTACAACTCAAAATTAATTGAAACACTGGAAATAGATTCTCAGCTATGTAGAAACAATAGCCGTGACATCACAGTCTTCGTTGGCGATAACGCTGCATAAAGTTGATCAGCAAGTGAGCGACAAATGGCCATAGGATTAATAAAACGAACAAACGTGGCGGGCACTCTTGTAACGGCCACCATTTCGCATACATGCGTCTAGTGTGCTCCTAAAAAAAAAAGAATTATCGATGTTAATGCGTTTCTGTGCCTTTCACAAGTGCGCGCGTAGAATAAGACGAATAAAAATAATGAATTTACAAGTATTATTTTAAGATAAGAAATACATATTTTATTCCTTCTATTAAAATTAAATATATTAAAAAAATAATAATATAAAATGACATTACGTACTATCTGCGGCGCCAGCGCTTGCAGGGCTTGCCCTTCCAAGCCTCGTACTCGAGCAGTTATTCGATCCAAATCTCTCTGTAGATGTTGCATAGTTGTCGCGATCTGATTAAGAAATTCCGCATTGACTTTACCATCGTCTTTCTTCGTTCTCTGTCTACCTCTCTCTCGATGACTCTCCGGTACCGTCTCCGCATGACCATTAGCGTTGCTATATCCATTAGTCAATTCAGTGTTCTCTTTTATAACATTCTCCGTATTCGAATGATCAATTCCGTTATTTGTCTGTACCTTTTGAGTAGATTTAAATGCATCTTTTTGCGCTCTCTCCGGCGCTGACTGCAAAATCAAATTGTTCATAAGACGAGAATTACATGAGATACGTTACAAGCGTTATATAAGATACGTCAATATCATACTTCAACAGTATCTATGAATTCTTCTTCTTCGCCATCGGTATCTTGGGGTAGTGGGCTTGCAGTGCGACTGCTGGTCGGGCTGGTTTCCAAACTACTCGTTATATGTCGAGAAGTATTGCAAACTCTATGGGGTGACGTTTCTCTAGATGCTGATAAAACAAGAAAATGACTTTTCACGAAAAAGACGAGATTTTCGATATTGTAAAAAAGAATATTTTTCATTATCATTGATGTGTGTGTGTGTGTAAAATATAAAAGAATATCTCAAAGAATTTAAAAATACTATTATCATATCGATAACATAAACCGTTTCCTTATCATTTAATAGATATCCGATACTTTAAATTCTCCTCTAATATCTCCAATTTGAATCTTAAGAGTCAACATATTTATAACAGCGATATTTTAAATGATATTCTCATTTCTTGATATTTTACAGTTTAAATTTCAAAAATGCTTTCAATAACTTTAAGTAATGTATACGCAGCGGATAATGTAATTAATTCAAAATTAAATGCAATTAAAAGTAAAAGAAACCTAATGGTGAACCAGACAATGGTGAGCCTGGCTGAGAACGTATGCGCTCTAGTACTGGTCCCACAAGTAATTCCAAATCCTCAGCTGGTACGCTCTCGTAGAAAGAGTCCAAACTGCCGAGGAATGTTGCCACATTATCCGTATAAGACATAGTTTCGACAATCTATCAACGCGATGATATTCTCGTTTAATATGCTCATCTCATGTGAATTTTATTATTATTCATATATCAATATTTACTTTCTTCAATTCTTCCACATAATTATTCATGGCTTCTGTGCGACTCATGTTGCCAAGACGTGTCCACGCGTCCCATTTCGCTTTCTTGATTACCTCCCAGAATGCGGGCTTGGATTGTTGGCAAGGTCCCTCGGTTGCTTGTTTGTAGTAAGAATAAAATCGCAGCATAATCTCATGGCTCGGCTGATACGCTCCTGAAAATCGTGTATTAAAGATAATATATTTATGTATTAAGGATAATATATATCAGACACGGAAAAATTATAAAATATTTCTGATTGGCGCATTGTTATTAATTCTTGCCAATGTATATATATATATATATTTTGCAATATTCCCATGTTGCAGAGATCCATGTTCCAAGAACAGATAAATTTAATCAAAATTTATGTTCTCCAGAGTAATCAAGCATTAAACAGAGATATGATATATGATGTTTTAATCTTCTATCGCCTTGACCTGCAAGTATTATAAAGTATTATAAAGTATTATAAAGTATATAAAATTGCAAGTATTTTCTTAGGCAAGATGGAATAGATTGCAGATTAATAATATAAAAATTTATATATCACATGAGCGTTACATAATCGATGTATTTTACAAAGATTGTAAATATTAATAATATTACTAATGTGATTATTAAATATAATTCTCTCTAACTTTTTCTAATGAAATTTCTGTTCTCAAGAGTCGATATTAATACAAAATGAATGCCGTCATTTCAAAGTTCATTATTCATTATTTTAGCAAGTAATGCTTTATTATATTATATAAAGTGTTTTCATTAAAATCAAAGCGCACATGTCAGCGTGAAGTTTTTTTTCTTTTTTATTACGATGTAATTATGTGTATATATTTTTTGCATGTTTATCAAGAGATATATGATCATAATATAAAAATTAAAAAAGAAGAGATTAATAGTAGTCAAGAAAAATTATCATGTATGGAAATTTTTTAATTTCATCCAGTATACTTTACACTCTGTCTGCTAATACAATAATAGTGAGAGAAAAAAATAATTAAAACACTTTTTAATAAAATTTCATAATTGTTACCGCAACTTACTACTTTTGTGATCAGTGAAGAGGAACATTCTAGTTTCAAATACTAAACATACAGCACATATTGCACTGTTAGAAAGTAAAGTGGGGAGTAATACAGTCACTTAGCTATATGAAGTGACTGGAAAGTATACTTGTATGCAATATCTCTTCAACATCAAGGCTAAACAATAAAAAATAAAAAATCTACAGATACGAGTAACGTTGAAGCAATAACGAGATTAATCCAAACATTGCTACTTTGGGTTTTAAATTACAGATATTCAAAAGAATAATTCTTAATCATTTATTTTTTCAATTAAAAATCTATAAAAAAAAAAAAAAAAAAGAAAAAAAGAAAAATATCCAAACTTCTGGTTTTTCATGTAAAAAGTTACGTGATAAGCAATAATATCGTTTACGAGAAATATTTTATAAATTTACGTATATGAATATATGTTTCAAGCATGCTACGTTATGCTACAATGACGTTCGAGAAATGTAAATCAACGAGCTTGTCAATTTTTAGAATATAATTATCAAATGTGAAGGCCATTCACGTAGCGCAGAGTCGAAATCATCTAGTAGAAATAGATAATACGACGGATATGGAGGGTTCCTCCGCACCGCACGAACGCTTGGGAAAGGAAGGAAAATTTTTTTATCTGATATCTCTCTCGATGCCGAGAAATTGGCCTGAGAACATTCACTTTCGTCGACATGATTAGATCTTGTCAATTTCTCTGCATGACAGCGCGTAACGGCGCATGCAAAATCTTCATGTTTATTTTCCGGATAATAGAAACACCTGCTAGAAAAAAAGGAAAAAAAAAAACACCCGGAAGACAACCACGCATGCAAAAACGTGTGCACGTTTAAAGACGTGTCGCGTGATTCGTACTGTCGTAATACACAAGTTACTTTTTTGAGAATTCTGAAAACGCCTGAAAAAGTGCCTGATGTAATTCATTATCATCGTTTCGTGAATAAACATACGAATCATTTCTGCATGAGAATGATAAATATTAGCAAGCGGCATCGGTGACGGCAGCGATGGTGGAGTGGACTTTAGCCAGCGCGCAATAAAGCTGCACGCCCGAAGGAAGACAAGCGAGAAAGGAAAAGAAATCAACAAGCGAGGAAAGCAAAAGGCAATTCGCGATAGCGACCGCGATATCCACCGCGGTCGTAACGCGAGAGCGAATACAAGCGCGTGAGACGTAAAATCGTTTCCGAATGTGTATGCGCGCAGGGATCTTCCTCTCGGGATCATTCATACTCTCGAGAGACGCCTGTTGTTGACTCGCTTCGACCGTGGGGATAATGCCGTGATAATGTAAATGTAATGTAAGTTTTTTTTCTTTTTTTACCATTCTTCGGCAGATTCCTAATCACGTTCACGGCGGCGTTGAACTTTTCCTCCGTCGTCATGTTGCACAGAGCAGGCAAGCAGCGGGGTGCAGTATTCTTTTTATTATCTTCTTTCTCTGTATCTTGTCCCTTTTGGGACGCGGTATGGTTCCTGGCGCGATATCGCGGCTGCGATAACTTCGCTTGGCAGTAAAAAAAAAAAGAAACACTCCGGGACCCGTTCGACACAGTACGAACGAAGCGTACCTGGCCAACGGCTGGCGACTACTAACCGTCACGCGGCAACTCGTCCACCGTCCAGAACCGAACTGAACCCGCTACAAACCGCGAACTGTCGAGCCGATTGCGGTTGATGCTGTTGGAACGTTTGATTATCCAGATGGATTACACGATGGCCGCTGGTAATCACTGACCGTACTGACGATGACTGACAGATTGTTGTGTCGTGAATTATCGTACCGATTGACGATTGGCGGCCGTCTCGGGTGACATTCGCGAGCATGCGCGAGCCCGAGTTGTCCAAGAAATTTCAATAACCTCTGTCAGCTGTCTGCTGTTCTCACGCTTCTCTAAATATACGTATACATGTAAATTATTACATACAAATTTATTTCAACATAGCTCTCTTCGATTTCTATTGCATTAATTTCTGTTATATTAACTGGATCTCCTTGTACAAATGAGATATATTAATTATAAATTCTTAATCTCACACACACACACACGCGCGCGCGCGCGCGCGCGCGCGCGCGTCACACAGAATTATTAATCATTACCCTTTCTCAAAGTGGAGATATTAATTTCCTTTATTTTAGTAATTTTACCTAAAATTACAATTATACTGACCTTCATAATTTTTCTGAAATTAAATTAAATTTTTACTGATTTTATATCTTAACTTGCGGACATATGTAAATCTTTAACAAATAAAATTACGCAATTACTATAATTGCCACAATTCTTTCAAAGTCAATATTGTAATTTCCGCTATTCTTATAATTCTATCCCCTAAAATTACAATTATGTTAATTTTCATAGTTTTCTTGAAGTTTATTTCTACTGATTTTATGTTTTAATTTGCAGACATATAAAATGTAAATCTTTAAATGTAAATAATATTGGATATTTACTAATCATCACATTCTCTCAAACTGGATTTTAATTTACATCATTTTAATAAGTTTACTTAAAATTATAATTATGAGAGAAATATAATTATGACTGAATTGTTACAGTCTCCTTGAATGTTAATTTCTATCATCCAACTTCTATGCTTATTTTCATTTTACATATATGTCGCAAATCTTTAACAAATAACGGCCCCTTTCCTGTAACCCTTAACGAGTATCGTTATCGTTATAATGTCGTTGCGCAACTTTTCTATCACATTTGCACGATAACGACAAGAATTATCGTTAAGTTACAGAATAGATCTAAAGATCTCTCACAATATTGAAATTTTTTCGGAACGAAGATTAATCTTTTTTATTTAATTATTTTTTCATTTCAGAAAGCAAATATTCTTAAATTTCGGAATCCTTTACGAAAATATATAACTATAAAAATATATAAATATATAAATATTAACTTCTCGACACGTTGAGTTGTCAATGCCACCATGACGATGCAGTAACGAAAAATTAACAGTCATCGCAAAGAAAATAAAAAATCACGACGTTCCGATAATTAATGCATCAAGTGCCGCACGCAGTCTTCCTACGATTATCGGATGGGTCCCGTTAGCGCACAGTGCGATAGCACACATCCACACACATTAGCCGCTGCTTAGGAATTTTCCAATGGACCACCAATCAGAAAATTTTATTTTTACTTTACTTACAATCAACGTTGTGCTATCGGATCCCTCTCGATTTATCTTACGATTTTATTTTTTTTCTCGCAAAGAGAAAACAAACTGTTATCGACCAAATGTTGTTATTTCTTGATTTTCCTCTCACTTTTGTCACTATAGTCCAAATAGTTGCAGATCGCGTGTGACTACGCGTAGTAATTTAGATGCAAATCAAAGAAATTTAAATACGTAATGTTGCTGGCGACGGAATTTCGTGAATTTCGCAACTGCTAAGGCTACGTTTCGACATTCACTGTCAGTGAAATATATATAAGTACTGAAAATGTATAGTTCAGGTCACGTGTATTATAGATTTTCAGTATTAGCAGTGAATTTCGAAATGCAGCCTAAGTAGACACACTTCAATCCGTCTGTACTTATTTATATTCATTGTGCGTTTAATTTTAAATTTATTTACGTTTATTCTAATTTTTATTTTTTAAATTTAATATTTATTCCCATTCCTAATAAATTCCTTCATTGTGCGCAAGCCCTACTGTGATGGAGTTCAAGGTGTAGATGAGTGCAGATAGAGTATGCACTTGTTCGTGATAGCGCACGCGCGCACGCATGCGCAGACACGATCAGCTGTTCTCGTTTTTAGTTACGAGCGCGACATCTCTCGTGCGAGCGCGTATCGTCCGACTCCGTCCGTGATGTCGTTTTTCTTGCATAAAGATTCGCACGCATGTTGATGATGACGTATCGCGTTCTCCCAGCCTACCGAAGCTTCTTCAAAAGCGCTCCCTCCCTCTTTTGCTTTTGCTAGATTTGCTACTGATGAGCAAGCCGCGATTCCACACGGAGCCGGAAGTTTTTCGATAACGCACCACGTCAGATTTTCGCGGTAACAGTAGTGGTGATGGTGGTGATGGTAGTGATGATGATGGTAGTGGTGGTGGTGATGGTGATAGTATAGTAGTGTCAGCTCGTAGAGATGGTGTCGTTGTCGTTATCGTCAACGTTGTCATCGTCGGTGCCTGTTATACCGTGTCTGCGTCCGCGTGTTTGAAAGCAACGACGTGTGGATTAAAAAAAAAAAAGCCGCTCCTGATGCGGCCGACGAGAAAGGTGCCGTATAAAAGGAGAGAATGAAGCACCGCGTACTGTGCGTATACTGGGCGCTGCTCCTGATATCGACAGTGTCCAGGTAAAGCAATCGCCGTTCGTCGATACGAATGTAACGCATTGATCGCGACTCGCGACGAACAAATCTCTCGTTCACGGAACGAATGCGAATCCTTGCGCAAGCCTACATTCTCCTCTTCGCGCGATGTACCTTCTCGCCTGTCGCGAAGTTTTTACGAACTACCCATGGAATACTCGTGAATATCTCGCAAGTCATTTCTCGTGGAATCTCTTTGAAATTCCACGTCTGACATGCGATCTGATAAAATTGAATACAATTTATATTTCATCATTGAATGCAGGTTTTTAAATTAAATTAAAAAAAAAAAAGTTAAATAGTTTGATATTAAATGTTGAATTATTTGTTATAATTTAGAAATTAAATTTATTAAATAATATGATACCCTTTTTTTTTATTAAAAAACTCACAGAATGTGATAGAATTCTTTAATTGTCAATAACAAAGAACAGCTTTTTTATTATATTTAATGAAAAATAGTTTACTTTTGTATTATGCAACACTGATACAATGTTACTTAATATGTACAATAATGTAACTTGTTTTTGTTACAGCGGACTTCTGTTTCTCATAGTAGCTTCAGAGAATGCACAAACCAAAGATACCTTTTTCCATTTTGAAAAGAATGATACTTATGGAACTTATAATAACATCACACTCAATTACGAAAACCATGAAAGTTTTGAGTCTTCTTCTATACCGGATGCTGAAATTGATACAGTGACATTGAAGACTAATCAGAATGGTCAATATGATCAGGTGAGATCATTGTACTTCTATTCTAAGTATCTAACAGCAAATAATATATATTGCTGTTACACATGTTATTATATGTGTAATAATATACATTCAGGAATTTTTAATTAAGTTTATTTAACTTTTTATATATTTACACACACATATACACACATACACACATACACATACACATATACATATACACACAATGTATATATATTTTATATCATATTACAGCAAGAAGCTACGGTCTCTGCTAGTTTTGAGACAATTGTCAATGAAGATGTAGAAAAAAATATGGATATTTTAGCTGAGAGTCTCACACAACAGCCTAATCTTTCCCAAGGGTGAGTTTATGTACATTACCATTTTATTTTGTAATAAATCATTGCTTCAGATAGCATATGTAGACATAAAAATTAACTAATATATTAGGTAAAAAAAATGACAACATTGTTGTTTTTTTATCTAGATAATTAATACAAATTATTAGTAGTTATGTATTGATTATTTTAT